TTCACAGAGGGAGGTCCATTCAAATTTCTTAGATTTCTTTAGCGTGTGGAAGAAATGGTGGCATTTGTCGACGGACCTGGAGATGAAGCGACTTACGGCGGTCACTCGTCCTGCCAGGCGCTGGACGTCTTTGATGCAAGTTGATGAAGGTGTGTTGAGGATTGCTCGGATTTGATTGAGGTTGGCTTCTATCCCACACTGAGTTACCATGTATCCCAAGAATTTTCCTGATGAAACCCCAAACGAGCATTTGACCGGATTCAACTTCATGTTATACTTCCTTATGATGGTGAAGGCCTGGTTGAGGTGGTTGAGGTGCTGCTCGGCCATGAGGGACTTGACGAGCATGTCATCGATATACATTTCCATGTTGTCCCCGAGGTGTTCAGCGAACATCCTGTTGACTAGCCATTGATAGGTAGCCCCCGTGTTCTTGAGGCCAAACGACATCACTTTGTAGCAGTAGGTCCCCCTTTCTGTAATGAAGGTTGTTTTCTCCTGGTCGTCCGAGTGCATCAAAATCTGATTATACCCTGAGAAGGCATCCATGAAGCTTAGGAGTTTGTGGCCTGCTGTCGCATCGACCATCATGTCGATATGCGAGAGTGGGAAGGAGTCTTTAGGGCATGCTTTGTTTAAATCTGTAAAGTCTATGCAGACCCTCCATTTTCCGTTCTTTTTCTTCACCACCACCACGTTTGCCAGCCAGTCGGGATAGTGGACTTCTCTAATCAGGCCATTATTCAGTAATTTGTCGACCTCCTTATTGACGATCCGGTTACGTTCTGGTGCGAATTTCCTACGCATCTGCTTCACTAGGAGGTGATTCGGGTCTACTTTGAGATGGTGGACGATTGCTTTTGGGCTGACTCTTGTCATGTCAATGTAGGACCAAGCGAAGCAGTCCTGGTTTTGTTTGAGGATTTCTATGAGTGTCTCTCTTATTTCGGGCCTGAGGCGCGAGCCTATTTGGGTCTTCCTTTCGGGGTCGTCCGGGTGTATCTACACTTCATCCAACTCCTCTATAGATGGTTGATCTGGCTTGGTCAGTAGGGTTGGATGAGACTATAGTTGCTATAAAGCGTTACCTTTGCTTGTGAATGTGTTTTTGTAGCAATCTCTGGATGCCTTAAGGTCACCCTTGATTTCCCTTACTCCCCATTTCGTTGGAAACTTGATGTTTGGTGGAAGGTGGATGGAATAACTCGCATGTCGTAGATCCAAGGTCGACCCAAAATGACGTTGTATGGTGAAGGACAGTCGAGCACTAGAAAGATGGTTGGCTTGTTGACTTTGCTGGTGTAGATAGGCAGAGCGATTTCTCTAATGTTATACTTCTGCTCGGAACTGAACCCTACCAGTAGAGTTGGTCGTTTGTTGATGTTTGTTTCGTCCAGTCCCTGCTTCAAGGAAGAGAATGTTTGCTGAGGGTTCCGAGAATGTTTGCTGAGGGTTCCCCGTCTATGAATACTCTCTTGACTAGAATGTTTGCGATCTGGAGGGAGATGACTAGAGCATCATGATGAGGGGTAGCTAGGGTGATCGGCTCATCATCTTTGAACTGGATTACCTAGTTGGTTGTAGCCGGGAGGGCGGATGGATGGACTTTTAGCTGATGATTGGCTTGGGCATAACGTTTGGTTGAGGAGTAACTTACCCCACTGATCTTCGACCCACCAGAGATAATGGAGCAGAAACCCTTTGGTGTAGGTTCTCGCGGCGGGGCGGGTGGGGGGGGGGGGGATACTTCCTTCGAGCTTTTTCTGGTTGATTGTATTCTTCCCTTTATCCATCAACAGATCTCGGAGATGTCCCCTCTTCAGTAGCACGACGACTTCCAACCGCAGGGCGATGCAGTCTGCAGTGTTATGACCATGGTTGTCGTGGAATTTGCACCACTTGGTTTTGTCCTTCCTTGCTTGGGGATTAAGCTTGTTCGACCACTTAACGGTAGGTCTCATTCCTTTCATGATTGCCACAACCTGGGCTGGTTTGCCATTGAGGTTGTACTTCGGAATTTTGTATTGGCTCGACCCAGATGGTCTATTGTCAGTTCTAATTGGCGGGCGGTCATACGGTCTCTTTACCTTGGTCAGGTTGCGTGGAGAGGGTTGGTAATGGGGCTCAAATGATCTGGACTTTGACCTTCTATCGTTCCGCCTTTGGACAGTCATCATACCTGGCATGCCTCATCCGATTCATTTTATTTTCCTCCCACCTTATTTGAATTACAGCTCTAGCTAAAGTCTCTTCCATCGTGGTGCAACAGAGCTTTGTCAGGTCTTTGTATAGTTCTCCGTCCGGAAGAAGACCCTTTCTGAAGGTGTCTACTACTGTCTCTGGGTTACAAGAAGGGATGGAGATTTTTTATTTGTTGAACTGATCGGCTGATAGTTTCTCGAGCTTTTTGCTGTTGGCGAATTGTTCAACGAAAGTGTCGGTGAGCTGGGCGAATGAGTTGATTGAACAGTTTGGGAGGTTGGTATACCACTGAAGTGTTGGGCTAGAGAGGCTTAAACCGAAGCTTTTACACATGCAAGCTTCCCTCAGTGCTCGGGGTATCGATACAACGAACATCTGCTGCTTATAGGAGGCTATGTGGTCGTCTGGTTGGTTGTTCTGTCATAGGGCTTCATGTTGGGAATGGTGAACTTGTGTGGTATCTTAGCTAGCGCGATTACATCTACGAAGGGTGGATCGGCATAACAGAGAGGTTGGCTCTTTTTTATTGGGATTGGCATTCCAGGTATGCACCTTATCACCGCCTCTATGTCGGCCAGTCTCTTGGCCAATATCTGTTCCATAGGAGATACGGATACCACTAGGTCATCTTGGTTAACTTGGTTGGCCATGCGATTCGCGCCTGATGCGTTTCGGTGGGTCAATCCGCGTGGTGTAGTCTGACGGATCACTCCGTTATTCGTCGCTGGGTAGCTTTAATCCCCATTCATTCCCTCCGGTTGGATGACTCCCCTCATGATCGATTGGGTGTTTCGCCCCACATGGATTGTAAGGGGTGTTATTTGGGATTTGTTTAGCCTATTGGGATGAATGGACTCGGGCGAGGTAGTTTGAAGGAGTGGGGGACCGCTCAACCTGTGAGGATGAGCCGAGCCAAATGGTGTTTGGGTAGGGATGACTGACTGAAGATGGGATGGGATGGGATGGCGAGGATGGGTGGTGCTTGTTGTGGTGGGCTCTCTGTCGCTTGGACTCCTTGATCTCGTGCCTGAAGCGGATCGACCGAGAGTGGCTCTATCGATGGCCCCCGTTCCCTATCAGTCAGGGCTGAATCATCAACTAATGACGAACATAGCTGGCACGACCTCGTATCCGAGATTGCAGGTCCGTGCTCTAGAGTCTAGAGAGGTTGCATAGACGGAACCGAGGTGCAAAACCGATTGGGTGGTACCTAACAAGGCAGAAGCTCAAGATCACAAAACTGACTTACCTTCTCTTTTAGAGATCGGTTCTCAGCCCTGATGGAGGCGTCTTTGGTTAAGACGGCAGTGTTCTCAGCTTCCAATGCTGCCACCTTGTCTGAGTGCTGTTGCATGAAGGTGATCAGAGCCTCCAGTTTGGCCTCGAGGCCAGGATTAGTGTTATCAGAATTGTCAGCCATGGAGAGTTTCTTCACGTAGCAGGTTTTGTTAAGACGAATGATTGCCAGAGGCCCCACGGTGGGCGTCAAACTATAGATGCAAAAATCTACTGTTACGGAAAGAGGGACTGATCCCGTGAAGTTGAGGCCACTAGCGATCTGCTGCACCTACACACATGAGAAACAAGCGTGAAACAGACAGAAAACACTAGGGTGGTGTTTGTCGTAGGCACTTCGACGCTCAAATCAGTAAGGCTGAATGAGGCTAGTTTAGTGAGGGTTAGGAAAAGGAAGAGTTACAAGAAGTCTAGTCAGGGACTGTGACTACGGCTGTAATACGAAGTTCTCAAGTGGGAACTCTAGGGTCTGAAGGTGTAATGTTTTCTCTCCCTTGTGAGAGGGTTGGCCTCTATTTAAATAGTGACTGTATGACCTTCCATCTGGTGGGACTGAGAGTCCTCGTAGTGGTAGTTCTCCCAAAGGGTATAACCTTTGGCTCCTTTATCTCGACAAGAAAGGGAGTTCGAGTGTGACTCGGATACGGACCTTGGAGGAATTGGGATAGTAGTTGACTTCCTTATCAGAGTTCTAGTAGGAGTATAATCCGTAGGCGAATGTGGGCTCTGAATTGACCGTAAGCCCAGAAGGTGTTCTAGGATCAGGAGGCCTAGGTCCAGATGGTAAAATCCGACTGCACTTCATACCGAATGGGCCTCATCTGCGAAATTCTGACTTGGGCCCCATCCAGATTGGGCCTAGGCTTTCATCTCTGTTAGAGATGTTTCCCTATTTGGGCCAAGGACATTTTTTTGCCCTAACAGTGATCAGGGGTAGCTGCTTGGTTTCAACACTCAAAACCCATTGAAAATATAACAAAATTTGGTGGGTTTGTTTAATTCAGTATGTTCTTTCTTTGATGCATGATTGGTTGCTAAAGTTAAATTTAAATAAGATTGTATAGTTTGCTTGGAATTGTTTTGCCAAGTTGTATCCTAAATTATGATTTGTCAGATTTTCATTCATCTAAAATTTTAAAGTAACTAAAACAAAATGATCTTCCATAACTGACAAATTGCAAAACAAAGAATAAATTTTTTGAAGCATCGATGAAATGAAACACATAATGGTGAAAATGATAGACTTACCGACTAGTGTGTACCGATTTTGTGCACCGAATGACGTGGCAAAATCCTGGCCGTTGATTAATATTAACTGATAATAAATAAACAGTCAAGATTGTGCCACGTCATTCGGTGCACAAAATCGGTACACACCAGTCGGTAACTGTAGCATTACTCAATGGTGAAATTATGAGTAACTTTCATTAATTAATTAATATGACAAATGTTAATAGCAGACTTAATTGTGTAGAGACCCAATTTTGCAAATCTTTCCTAAAAGAATAAAGAAGGTTAAACAATATTTCTCTACAACCCAAGCCGGGCATAATAGAGATAAATCGGTCACTTTTTTATTGGAATTTTCTACTTTTGTTGAATCCAGCGCTTGTTGCTGATACAAAATGGAAACCAAGTCTCAGGCTTCCAGGGAAAAAAAAATAGAATTTAAGGGCAAAATCCAACACCACCACCAGCTGCTACCACGCACCCAAAACTTTGCCTTCCAGGAAGGGTGCCTCTCTCCTGGCACTATAGGAACAAATTTATAACAGATTGCATATATTGTTTTCCTTCATTTCTTTGCTTCACTATAAAGGATCACTCCAAATACTGTCAATGTGTAACCAAACACTCCGGTCACGGAGAGGGGATTTCTAAATATCAAAATTGACACCACCACAGCCCTTGCCCTCTTTGCATATCCTAGTACCTGGATGAGCCAAAAGCTTTTCAATATCAACGCGTATATATATACGGAATACTTCGAGAAAAATGTGAGAAGAAATGAGCAAGAAAGAATTAACGCTTAATGTATCAAGACAATTAAATCTGCAATGATAAGCAACAAAGAGCTGGAGTAAAAGAATAATAAACATGATGACAAAAATGAAAAATACGTTAGAGGGTTTGAGACACCACTCTTAAAAGAGTAACTACAAGAATGTATAACTCTTCTAAGCAAATCAATGAAGACTGTTTGACCTTCAAGTTTTACAACAAATGAAAAATTACAACAGAAGATAACCAAAGCTGGTAAAACTTGAAGGTGGAATGTAAGGGAAATTTTATGGTAACGGAGGGCAACCTTTTTGGACTATTGGATGGCAACCATAGAACTTCGGCAAAGCCATAAAATGGTCCACAAGGGAGGTTAATATTAGCCCCGTACAACAGTATGACCTCAAATGTGAAACCTGTTTCTTACAGTTTAACCTTTTAATCTTCACAAAACTTTTGGTTGTCTGTTATCCTTAAACCCTACAATTTTTGTAAAAAATCTCCTCCATGTTGCTTTTGTTCGATTTTCATTGCAGACAGCCAAACAATCTGAAATGATCTATTTCCATGTCATCCTTTTTTGCTACGCTTTGAACATACATCAATTTATCTGAATGTCCTATTCCAACTACAAAACAATATAGCTTCTCCCTAAAAACAAAATTAGGGGCTTTTCAATACCCTTTTCTGATGTCCTGATTACTTGAAACATGGAACCAAAAACTCATGCAGTCAACTGGAAACAAAATAACACAGATTCCTTACCCTTCAGAAGAAAGTAAAATCCCTTGTAGCACTGATTTAAGTGCCCTGGCAGCTGTTGCCAATGCACATTATAGATCCAAACAAATGGAAACTTGGTTCACCCTAAACCCACATAAGAAACAATAAAAACAATTAGAAGCAGAATAGTCAACAAATGAGATCACTTTATTGACACAAAACCTAAAATAATCAACTGGTTGCAGAGTTGCATCTATCTAAAAACCAAACTAATTGTAACATAGAATATACTTGCTTTCATCTGGTGTACAAAATTTTTAAAGACGTATCATATTATACTTACAACCCAAATCAACAAAGCTAAGATTATTATTATTAAATTGAAGTAAAATCACCCAATTGATACAACAAAACAATTGGTTTCTACCTTGAATTAGATATTCATCCAGTTCGAAAACAAAAAACAACTACATTAAGCTAATTTGAGTTCATTATAGGTCTAATATTATTTCACCAATCACCAGAAACCTCTACAAAAAATCCCAATTTTCACCAAGCCCTGAAACAAAGAACCCAAATTACTTAATTAAACAAAAACCCAGCAATCAAAACACACCAATAACTCAATAACAACAAAAAAAAAAATGAATAAATAAAAAGCGTTTGAAGACATACCTAGCTAGCGATGATAATCCCAGTAACCCAAATACCCACAATTGCTAACATTACTTCAGATACCTAACAGTTACTAAAATAAGGAATAAAATAAAATCAAAACCCTTAAATAACAAACAAACGAACCTATACCGCAACGTATGAATTTCAACACAGTGAAAACAAATGAAACAATGATACCACCTGTTAAAAAGACAAGTTAAGGTCGTTTTTCCCAGTAAAAACCTTTATTTCAAAGAGAAGCACATGCTTTGGCTTTGATTCTCCATCAATCAATGATGTTGCCACTGAAGAATTTCTCTAACAGGAAATGAAGAAAATAATTAAAAGAATTAAAGAGGAAGCAGAGCTTACCCTGCATACAATTCAAGCAAGGAACTGGAAATTAGTCTAGAAATTTCGTTTTTCGAATTCAATAGTGAAATTTCATGACTTAGCGTTCGATTTCATTACCAATAAGCAAGCTGTGAGTTACTCCCTCCTGCATTAAAAACCACAGCAAGATCAGCGCTGGCAGCAGGATCCGAAATTCAAAGAAAAAAGAGCAAAGATACAGTCAGAGATAAACAACTGTAATGAAATGAATAAATAAAGAAATGGATAGAGTTAAATTCCCTCCATATATGTTTATGAATCATAATTAGCAAAATCCTATCAGAATTAAAAAAAATAAAAGAGACAGAGAGAGACATAAGGGATATGAACATACGGATGAAAGGGAGAAGGCCGGAATTGGCCCTCAGGAGGTCGTTGATGGAAGAGTAGAAAAGGTGATGGAGGAAACCAGAGTGGTCAACACGATCAAGGCAGTCGAAATTCTGTAGACCTGACAGATGAATCCCCAACGGAGCTGGTGTAGAGGTCGACCTGGTGCGGCTGTGGTTGCGGCTGCGTTTCGCCTGCGATTGGGGAATGTGGTGGCTAGGGTTCTAAAAATTGAAAGGAAATCTGGAAAAAACTTTACAGTTCGAATTCGAGGGAAAATGAAATTTGAAATTTGTTATCGTAAGGAATTTTTTTTTTTTTTTTTTTTTTAAATTTTTGGAGAGAAGTGACGTGGCAGATGATCTGCTACCATGTAATGTTGTAAGGGGATGTTACAAGGGAGTGTTATCAGTGGTTTAAAATATGGAGAAATGTTTTTAATTGATTTGAAGTTGAGTTTGTCATTACTCTTTAACTTATATCCGTTTTATATGTTACTACAATTTATTTTCTTCTGTAGTGGCCATTATCCCTAGAGGCTAGAATAGTAGTGATAAATAATAATACATTGGTTGGAATGAATGACAAGTTATGCTTAGGAGCACCACAGACCAATTGAAAGCCAGTGAATTTTCTGTAAGCTATTATTTTTAAATTTATTTGTATAATAAAAACTATGTTAGATAAAAAATTAAGTTGGATATGTAGAGAATTTAAAATATAATTCTACCAACTAAATTAATGACCTCTCAATATTTATATGAACATTAACAAGCTTCTGAATGTTAACACTTAGAATCTAAGAAAGTCAGATTAAAGAAGTGTATCACTTGCTCATTTCTTTATTGATTTCTTTAATTATCAATTCAATATAAAATGAATTTTAATATATACAATATATATTTAAAACACAAAATAAAAAAAAAAACCAATAATAATGTAAACAAAATATAATAAACATACTCACGCAACGTATGGGTTTTCCATCTAGTTATAAAATATGATTAATAGAGACAGGTAAAACAAATATTTTATATTATTAGTAATAAATTCAAAACTTATTATATTACACCAGATTCTGACCACCTTTCAGCGGTAGTGGCCAGAATCTAGCAAATGTGAGTAGATGGGGTGTTTTTATCAATTTCTAAATTTTTTTTTTTTTTTTTTGGTTGAGAGCGTTTAGTTAAATTAACAAATCTAAAGGTATAAAAATAGTTGAATATAATATAATTAAATTTTCAGAATAAGAAAACAAATATGTATTTTGGGTAGGATTTCAAAAATTATGTAAGAATGGAATCTAAAACCAAACCAGGGGTGAAAACTTGTGGTTTGGTTAAACCGCGGATGGAATCATATGGTTTACTCTATATACAATTATAAAATATGATTAATATATACAGACAGGTAAAACAAATATTTTATTAGCAATAAATTAAATGTTAACCGACTCAAGTTGATTAATTTGTAGATATTAATATATTATGACAGGAGAGAGACTTGACAATTTGATTCAAATTTCATAGACAATTAGCAGTGAACTCGAGCTGGTGAGTTCGCTGTATATATTTTATTAAAATGTTGTTGTTTCCCTTACCCTTGAGTGATACTCACTGTAGAGCTGGGCATTTGAGATCGGGTCTAAAAGTCTAGCTCTAAAAATTGGTCCTAGAATCAGAGTCCTAGGAGGCCTGGCCCCAAAATAAGACCAGGCCTAAGGGCCTGGTCCCAGGTCTAGGCCCAAACTTTTTTTTATCTTTTATTAATTTAGTCTTTGTAAAATTACATTAAACGCCCAAAATCAGTATAAATTTAAGGACTAAAATAAAATTTTACAATAACTGACCCACGGCTACATTTATTATTTATATAATATAAGTTTTTTTTTTTTTTCATTTTCCCTCCCACAACTACACTATAAATAACCCTAAAACCTTTAATTTTTTTTACACCAATCAATCTCTCATTCTTTCATTCTCTCAATCTCTCTACTCCAAATCTCCAATCAATTTCTCATTCAATTTATATTTATAATTTATTTATATTATTCAAATTTNTTTTTTTTTTTTTTTTTTGTTAGGAGCGTTTAGTTAAATTAACAAACCTAAAGGTATAAAAATAGTTGAATAGAATTGAATTGAATTTTTAGAATAGGGAAACAAATATGTATTTTGGGTAAGATAAATAGAGAAACAAACACACCAACATTAATTAAGAGTGGAATCTGAAACCAAACTAGGGGTGAAAACTTGTCGTTTGGTTAAACTGCGGGTGGGATCATATCGTTTACTCTATATACAATTATAAAATATGATTAATACAGAGAGGTAAAACAAATATTTTATTAGCAATAAATTCAATGTTAACCGACTCAAGTTGATTGATTTGTAGATATTATGACAAACTCCGAATTCAGGAAAGAGATTGATTCAAATTTCATCGACAATTAGCAGTGAACTCGAGCTCGTGAGTTCGCTGTATATATTTTATTAAAATGTTGTTGTTTCCCTTACCCTTGAGTGATATTTCTATTCCAGTACTTGTGATAAGACAGATTCGTTCCTTCCAATGAGTCCATTCCGCAGTATTCAAATCCTTGTTAATGGCCAGCAAACTTTCTTTCTCAACGAGGTAAACTAAATATTCATTAACTCTGTGAAAATATATTATTCATAGAATTTTTAGTCGTGACTTTAATTTGCCTTTGTAGCGTATTATATAAACATACTCAGAAAGTCTGAAAAAGATGATCACAGAATCATCAGGAATAATTGAAATTGATGGGTTCCCAGGAGGCGCAAATGGATTTGAGCTGGTATATCAAGGTCCTGTTACAACAATGGAAGAATCAGAATCACAGTTTAAAATGTTTGTGTTCTTTACTGTTGTTCTGTGTATCTTAGGATAGGAAATCTCTTGGAACAAACAGAGTCGTTTCTTGAAGGAATGTTTGAGTGGCCATGTAATCACCAGTTGTGAATCATTCTTTACATTTGCAGATTCATGTCATCTTGTACAGAAACTCCTTTGTCCTCTATTACCAAAGATTACCCAGAATTCAGATTTAAACCTTATTGCTTCATCTTCATCTCCAAGTATTTTGGTGGCCTTATAGACACAGGGATTGCTTTGATGAGGTCTATACAACTGTCGATATCTATCTTCAGGTCAGTAAGTTAATATGTTTAAAATATAACATATTATCATCTATCTATGTATGTGGGATTGTGCAGTTGCCTTAATTACGAAAAGATGCAAGGGAGTTGAGCTTAATACAACTTTGCCAAGGCTATGTTAAAACACCTTTTAGATTATCCATCCATATATAAATACACCCTTGATGCCTTTATTTGATTGCTAACCTGGCTACTATCCTTTGTAAAATGCTCACATTTGAATTGAAAGTTCAATGATTTTTTTGTAATCCTTAAAAATCTTATTATATTATGTTTAAACTATTTACCTCCCTTGAAGAATTCAAAATAGACAATTAGGTCCAAAAGTATGGCATATTATACTACCTCCCTGCCATGCCTATGCCATCAGTTCTACGGGTTAATAGTAACACCTTGAAGGGCAAAATGTAATTTGAGTCTAAAATCATGCTTTTATCACAAAAAGCTTTGATAAATGTTACATATATTCAAGAATTTATTTATCAAAACATATTTTTATTAATCATATAAAATTTTTTTTTGGTATTTCAATCATTTTTAATTTTTATATTCACATTTCTAAATCTTTATTCTTACCTTTATACATTTTATATATTTTCAACATCCTTAAGTATTTTAAATCTAAGTTAAAAGAACCTTTAATTTAAAAAAATTATTTAATAGAAAAAGGTCGACATATAATTTTTTACACCTAAGGTTCTATCAAAAAGAAAAAAACTATAAACATGTATATTAGAAAACAATTTAACCAAATTAAAATAATTATAGAAAATAAAGAAATTATCGGAAAATCAAAAGTAAGAATAATTTTTTTTTTTAAATTATTAAGCTTTTACATCAAAATTCAAATGATTTTTTTTATTGATATTATATAATATAAGTTCTTGTTAATCATATAAATATATTTATTATTATTATTGACAATATATAATAAGATATTTCCATCTATATATTTATATAATGCTGAAGCAGAATGCTTCTTTGAGCCACTAGGATTAATATATATCCCATGTAGGATGTCGTTAATTGGTCCAGTGTTTGTGTTTATTGGGCTTGCTATAATAGGGATTATTCACATGCATTCAATTAATGTATTCAATACAAATCTTTCACATTCCTCTTAATTTGAGATCTTTCACATTCCTCTTTTAATTTGATAAATTACTAATGATTCTTGGATGTTATTGATTTCCATGAATATTAAGAGATGCTATAATAGAATTATCACATGCATTCAATTAATGTATTCAATACAATCTTTCACATTCCTCTTTTAATTGATAAAAATAACATATTTTTACATTCATGAAATTCAATAATACACTTATTAATCCATTAATATTCAATGTTATTCATGCATATTAATATTATTATTAATTAATATTAATATTTTTGTACCCCTCACATTCAATTATATTATTAATATTAATATCTTTACCCCTTCACATTCAATTAAACAAAATATCAAATACCATAACGAAAAATGTTTTTATAAAACGTATTATCATTTAACATTTAATATAAATCTGAAAATTTTAAACTCATCCAATAACAATAAAACATTTAAATCAAAATAACCATAACCAATAACATGCAAACACTTACTAAAAAATATCAAAAGTCATATTAATTAGCAATAATCCAATTACATTGAACATAACACGAACAGTTGTTGTAATCATTAATTATCATATAATGTTATTTAATGACATCTAAAGCTATATAAGAGTAGAGAATTCAACAATCCATACACCGTCAAATATTTCTTTCATTTCACACAGATACCATTAACAAATGGAAGACAAAAGACCAATTATTGTAAATCTAAAATCCAAACAAACAGAAGCGTGCGGTAAATAACATCAACTGATTACTCTTATATTCCTTCTACATATCGACTTTTACATGTCCATTTTTTTATTTTTAGCAAGTCAAGCAGCAACGTCAGATGGTTCGCCTGAACTGGAAGGTATTCTACAAAACCTTAAAGTCATGCTGGACAAACTCAACACTGCTAGAGTGATGAACAGAGATATAATGAATGCTTTGTCAGAAATAACTGGCTCAACCATACATGTAATATTCGATTTATGGAAAAGTGAATCCTTGATTATTGCCAAAGAAAAGGAACTTGGTATTCCTCAAAGAAAAAAATAGAACTATATATATAAACAGTTCTATTA